CCGTGGTTTGAGTCCCGGAACCAGTGGCTTAAAACTCATGCCGGGTGCGTGTGCGTGCGTGCCCAAGATCCTGAGAGGAGAATGGAGGAGAAGGGATTGCGGCGTGGCCATCCCCCCTGGGGGGGGTGATTTCTTGCTCTCTGTCTGTCTGTCTCTGTCTGTCTGGCGAGCTCACGCATCCTATAGCCAAAAAACCTCTCAAAAAAAAAAAGTGAAAAATCACCCCCCTGGGGGATGGTCATGCTGCAATACCTTCTCTATTCTTCTCACAGGATTTTTTGGGCATGCACGTACATGCACCCAGTGTGAGTTTGAAGCTGCCAGTCTGGGACTCAATTCACAGTCGACCATGTGGGAGTCCAATGACATAACCATTAGGCTATCTGATGGTCCCAGTACTTTTTAATTTTTTGCCAGAGAGTGTGTGTACTCACCAGAGAGAGGAGAAGAAGAAAGCACTCTCAATGGGGCATTATCACACCATAATCTCTTTTCCATTTTTCCCTCCTTTCAGGATTTTGGACATACACACCCATCTCCCTGGTGTGTTTTTTAAGCCACCAGTGAAAAACTTGAGCCTCATTGTTGCCGTGTGGGATTCAGCACCCTTAACCACTTCGCCATAGGTTGGCTCACATCAATATTTTTATACTGTTGATTTGTCTATATCACAGGGGTTCACTGAACCTCATATTCATCACTCTGGTTGACACAAGAAGACATGAATACAATAGATGAAGTAATTCATAGGGAAATAGAATTATTATCAATAAATATCCTGTTGGGCAACAGGAATTATATTTTTGTTTTAAGGATTATTTCTTATTTAACTTTATTCATTCATCCATTTATTTATTTTAATTTGACCAGAGAGGGACAGAGTGAGAGAGAGAGAAAGTGAGAAAGCAAGCCCCCAGATCCGGGACTCTAACAACAGTTGGCCAGGTGGGAGTCCAACGCCCTTAACCACTATGCCACCTGCCGGCCCCAGGAATTGTGTTTTAGAGCCTACTGTGCTGCCTTTTACAAATGGAATATAGAAGAGTGGTCATAATACCTTGAACATTACTGGATGCTCAAAGCTCTTAGTTGTATTTAATCAGAAATCTTTTTATGCCCAGTTTTGGTTTCAAAACATCTTATGCTTTTCTGTCATGCAACTTTCTATATTAGTTTGTATGTGTGTGTCACACCACATATATTGTCACAAATATTGATATGCTCCTTTTTGTTAATTTTTGGTTTTTATTATATCTTCAAAAATACAGACCTGTCATTTTTAACTGAAATACTGTGTCCGAGTCTGAATGAGAAGAGATAGAAAGGAAAGAGTATTTAGCTTGCATCGTATTGTCATACAGGCCATGTGACAGGTTAATCCTGAGGTCTGCCTCAAAGAGAAAAGCAAAGTTAGTACTATTCTAGAGTCAATAAAGGTTGATAATTTTTTAAAATTATTTTATTTTTAGACATGTAGATACTTAAAAACACACACACACACACAAAATTGGAATGCTTTACCCCCCACCCACTCACCCCCACACAGTAGGAAAGGTGTGTGGATTTGCTGATTGACTTCCAGATTCCAGATGCCAGTTTGTGAAGACTCTTCTGGAGGAATTGAGGTGCTGTCTGTTTTTCTTAATACTTGTCTTATTTTAATCCATTCTCGGGTCTTGACTGCCAGACTGACTGCTGATTTATCAACTCAAAATTTCAATGAAGTCAGGAAGATAGTCTGAGGGATAGGGAACCTAAAAGGTTTCTTGAAATGCAAGTGTATGAGAGTTTGGAAATAAATAAAACTGTAATTAGTGTATTGTGGGATTTCTTCAGATATCTGTAGAATAAAGTGAATTTGCATAAAATACAGTTTGGGGAATCTACTCATATAATTAAGTTTACTAACTATGAAATTATTTTAACTGAGAATATCTGTGGATAAGTATTAATAAATCAAGTTCTAGTTTTTGTTTTTGTTTTTTTTTTAAGAGGTTTTTGCCTTAGGATGTGTGTGCTTTCCGGGAAAAGAGAGAGAGAGAGGGAAAATGAGAAGTCAACCCTTGGGGGGATGCCATGCCACAATTCCTTCTCCTCCACTTTCCTCCTGGGATCCCGGGCACACATACACACGCACCCAGCATGAGTTTCAAGTCACCAGGTCTGGGACTCAGACTATGGTCGGCAATGTGGTAGTCCATCGACATATCTGCTGTGCCATCTCGCTGGCCCCAAGTCCTAGAGTTTTTATAATTATATCCTATTTTCCTTGATCCCCATTCCAAAGTTGTATTTTCTCTTCTCCTTTTGGAAAAGTCTTCTCATATGTGTGTAGGAAAATTTCTATTAGAATATGGTGAGATTGGGCTGGCAAGGTGGTGTGGTGGTTAGAGGCACTGGATTCCCACATGGCTGACCATGGTTCGCGTCCTGAACCTGGTTGCTTGCTTTCTCACTTTCCCTTTCTCTCTCAGTCTCTCTCTGGTCAAATTAAAAAATAATAACAAATGGAATTAATTAAATAAATTAATTTTTTAAAAAAAGAATATGATAAGATGAGGCTAGCAGGTGGCATGGTGGTTAAGGTGCTGAACTCCCACATGGGCAATTGCAGTTTGAGTCCCAGACTGGTGGCTTGCTTTCTCACTTTTTTTTTTCTCTCTCTTTGGTGAATGTGCATGCCCTATAGCAAGATAAAATAATAATAAAATAATTCTTTTTTAAAAAAATATAGTGGGGCTGGCAGGGGGCATGATGGTTAAAGATGCTGGACTCCCACATGGCTGACCATGTTTCAAGTCCCAGACCTGGTGGCTTGCTTTCTCTCTTTCTCTCCCTTTCTCTCCTGCCATACTGGAAAATAATAACAATAAATAAATAAATAAATAAATATTTAATAAATAAAAAGCTGAAATATTCAAAAGTAATTCTTAAAAAAAAAGAATATG